GAACTCTTTCTTCTTAGAAAAGAGAATTATACCTTAAAGTATTATTTAGCGATGAAAAGAACTTACCAACCTTCAAAAAGAAAAAGAAGAAATAAACACGGGTTTAGAGATCGTATGGACTCTAAAGATGGAAGAAATGTTTTAGCCAGAAGAAGAAGCAAAGGAAGAAAACGTTTAACTGTTAGTGTTCCAAGAGCAAAACGATAAATTGACCTAATTAGGAAATGAAAAGCTTGAAAAATCATTCAAGCTTTTTTTATTAACTTTGTTTATCAAAATAAATTTATGTCAACTCAACCCTTAATTAAACTAAAAAACGTTACCATTTATCAAAAAGAAAATATGATATTAAGTGATGTTAATTTTACCTTACATAAGGGAGAATTTGCTTATCTTATTGGAAAAACAGGAAGTGGAAAAAGTAGTTTACTAAAAGTTCTTTATGGCGATTTACCTTTACATAGTGGAGAAGGCGAAGTGGTTGGATACAATTTAAGTAACATTAAAGTGGGATTAATTCCAGCATTGAGAAGAAAATTGGGTATTGTATTTCAAGATTTTCAATTACTCACAGATAGAGACATTTATAAAAATTTATATTTTGTATTAAAGGCTACAGGATGGAATAAAAAAGATGAAATAGACGCTAGAATAGATGAAGTATTGAACAGTGTGGGAATGATAGAGAAAAAATTTAGTATGCCACACCGTTTATCTGGTGGAGAACAGCAGAGAATTGTAATTGCCAGAGCATTGCTTAATCATCCAGAATTGATTCTTGCCGATGAGCCAACAGGAAATTTGGATCCAGAAACTTCAACAGAAATTATGGAACTGATATTAAAAATATCTAAAGAAAGAAATTGTGCAGTTTTCATGGCCACACATGATCATAGCATCATAAAACAATATCCAGCTAAAACTTATAAATGTGAGGATAAAAAAATTGAAGATGCGCAAATGTTGTCTCTCTTTTAAGAGGTTTTTTTATTCATGAAATCAATTATTTT